GAGGAAAACTCTCCACCTCTGTTGGAGTGCAGACGCAGAACAGGAAAGTCCGAGCCGAAACTCTCTCTGAGCTGGAGACGGGCAGCGCGGATCCAGTCGATCAACACCTCAGTGACCTCACACTTGCGACGCAAGGGGAAGACTGTGGTGTAACGCGAGTAGTCGTCAACCACCAGCAGGAAGTAACGCTCGTGACCCTGTCCACGGACGCGGGCTGGGCCCCACACGTCCATGTAGAGAGTCTGCAGAGGAGCCTCTGTCGGAGGGAACTCGGAGGAGTGAGGAGCGGCGCGCTGCCGCCCCTAGACGCAAGGAACGCAGGTAGGGGCAGGCCCCGGGGGAAGGGGAGGGAGGGACCGGGGGAGACCAGAGACAAGGACACGGGAGGCCATGCCTCGGAGACGAGGCAGGGAGGGGTGACCAAGGCGGTGGTGCCAGAGGAGAGTTTGGTGAGACAGGAGACGACACGAGCAGGGGGTAGACTCAGGACCAGACCTGGACGCTGCAGCAAACACCTGACTCGACGCAGCTACCTGACCAGACGCAGGAACCGAAGGAGACTCGCTAGTGAGTGTGTACAGGCTCGACCCCGGCTGACGGGTAAACGTGGCCAAGTGTCGGCCCGTCCGAGCACACGTGCAGTGGGTCACTCGCTGACGCGCAGGAGTGAACTGGTCAACCCCCCCATCCTGTAGGTCAGCACCACTCACCAAGTTCGTAGAGAACGAGGGGAGGTAAAGACCTGACATGGAGCCAGAAGGGGCCGGCGGACACAGTAGGACAGTGGAGTAGTGGGCAAGGACAGGATCCCCAGAGGGGTCTGCCAGGGAGACTGCAACCGGCCGACTAAGCGGCGTGAGTGTGGTGCGGTCTCGAAAGAAGGAGCGAGAAGCTCCCGAGTCAAGGGTGAAGGTGTGGAAGACCGCAGTAGGCGCAGCACCAGAGAGAGCAGACGCACCAGTACCTGGAGCAGTAGACTCACGAGCACCTAGAGCAGCAGCCTCACCGGCACCTGGAGCAGGAGACGCACCAGCACCTAGAGCAGCAGCCTCACCAGCACCTAGAGCAGCAGACTGGATACCGGGGTCAGGCGGCACACACAGGTAACAGGCACCCTCACCACTAGTAGGCAATGCATACATGGCAGTGAGGATAGCATCAGAGTCAAGAGCATAGATATCTACCCTCTGCCTAAGCAGCTCCACCCAGTCGGGGAGCTCAGCCGCGTCGCCAAACTCAGTACGCCAGGCGTCGCTCAGACGGGCGAAGCAGCGGGACTCTGTGAGACCAAACGTCCCGCAAGGCTGACCAGTCCGAGCACCAGTGCGAATGACGTACGGGCAGCGAGCAGTACTCCGTGACCCTCCAAGCTGAGCGTACCACTCACGAAGCTGCTGGGGCGAAAGGACCGCGCGCGGACGACGCTGCAGCTGCACCTGGCTACTACAAGAAGCTCCCGAACTACTCACTCCAGGACGACTCCCACTACGGCCACCCCGACAACCCCAACTAGCGTACCACTCACAAAGCTGCTGAGGCGTGAGGGACTCACGCGGACGTCGCTGGAGCTGCATCTGGCCACCGCCAGGAGCAGCAGTAGCAGTAGTAGCCACAGTAGCAGCAGTAGCAGCAGTAGCAGCAGTAGCAGTAGTAGCAGTAGTAGTAGTAGTAGCAGTAGTAGCAGCAGTAGCAGTAGTAGCAGCGCGGCCACCCCTACAACCCCAGCTAGCGTACCACTCACGAAGCTGCTGGGGCGTGAGGGACTCACGCGGACGGCCCTGGAGCTGCATCTGGCCACGCTAGGAGCAGCAGTAGCTGTAGAAAAAGCAGTAGCAGCAGGAGCAGCAGTAACAGCAGTACGGGCAGGGCAGTGCTCACCAGTGGCGAGAAGGGCAGGCGTACGACGGCCGCAACGGCGAGGCCGCTACCACTGCAGGGCGAGGGCTCCGCGGTAGCTGCTGAAGGGCGGGGCCGCGACCGCGGCAGGGAGCTCCGCGGCAGCTGCTGCAGGGCGGGGCCGGGCCGCGACGGCAGCTGCTGGAGGGCGGGGCAGGGCCGCGACGGCAGCTGCTGCAGGGCGGGGCAGGGGCCCCAACGGCAGCTGCTGCAGGGCGGGGCAGAGCCGCGATGTCAGCTGCTGCAGGGCGGGGCAGGGGCGGCCGCCAGTAGCAGCAGTAGCACCTAGGGCTCCTCTTTTTTTTTTTTTTTAATAATTATTTATTTTAGGGTTTGGCAGGTCGCACTCGGCGCTGCAGAGGCAGCTCGTGGGCTGCAGCGAGGGGGACGGAGCGCGGCTCCCCAGGGCGCCGCGACGGAGCAGCGGGGGGGGGGCCGCACGCGGCTCCCCAGGGCGTCGCGACGGGGCAGCGGGGGGTCGCGCGCGGCTCCCCAGGGCGTCGCGACGGAGCAGCGGGGGCCGAGCACGGCTCCCCAGGGCGTCGCGACGGGGCAGCGGGGGCCGAGCGCGGCTCCCCAGGGCGTCGCGACGGGGCAGCGGGGGGCCGAGCGCGGCTCCCCAGGGCGACGCGACGTGGCAGCGGGGGGTCGCGCGCGGCTTACCAGGGCAGCGCGACGGGGCAGCGGGGGGCGACACGAGGGTCGCAGAGGCAGCGCCCACGGGCGTCACGCGGCTCGGCAGGGCAGAGGCAGCGCCCACGGGCGACACGCGGCTCGGCAGGGCAGCACGCTGGCTGCAGGGGCAGCACCCACGGGCTGCTGGGGCAGGCACTGATGCAGAGGCAGCGCCCACGGGCTGCAGGGGCAGGCACGGCTGCACGGGCAGGCACGGCTGCAGGGGCAGCACGGTCACAGGGGGAGCACGCGGGCTGCAAGGGCAGCGCGGCTGCAGGGGCAGCTAAAAAAAAAATGTTTCAGTTAAGGCAGGGCGGAACGTTCGGTGGGCCCTAGGAACGATTCTGCTCTAATACCATGTTAAAATAAGAACAAGGAATGGATTGACTAGGGAACAAGGGGGGTACAAGTAGGAAACCTAGAAGTGTTGTACCCTATAGTGTCTACCCCACTACAGCTTAGATAGACTATAGCATATGAGTTTGACACCGAAGAGGTTGACAAAAGGTAACAGCAAGGAGGTTAAGCGAAGGTCAAAGGTCAGTTAGTTATGTCTTCTCATATTCCCTTGTAATCATATAAAGCCTTGTATTACATTGCTATAATCAATCTATCTTGCTCTCACACACTAGTGCAAGGTGGTTCAACCAGTTCACTACAATGCTTCCGCAATTACATAATCACTTCGAGTCTTAGCCTTGAAACGATCCTAAGGGCTTTCTCAGCCCATTAGGCGCAGGCACTGGCACGGCAGGCGCGGCCGGCGGCAGCGCGGGCGCAGCAGGCGCGGGCGCGGCAAGCGCTGGCAAACGTTTCAGAAGGGGATAATGTTAGCTGGTTCGGCCTATATTATCGTCCCGAACCACCTCCGAGTCGCCACCGCAACATTTTCCTATCTTCCGAGCCTCGTCTAATTGTGGCTAGGTCCTCGCTTAGCCTGGTTCATTGCAGTATAACTGTGTCACTTGCATAGCACCGCCAGTACCCATTTAGTCACAGCTTTGTTATTCGTTGATTTTGCATACTCTGTTTGACAACTCATGACAATACAGACCCAATAAGGTAAGGTATGGCAAAATGGTGCCATAAGAAGAAATTTGTTCTGTGGAAGAAGTGGCAGTTAAATGCTTTCAATGTCATTTTATAGATGACTATATTTACCTAGGTTAGGTGTAAGGCGCTGTAGAAACGCGTTCGCAAAATGCTTCCTGGAAACGGTTCCGTTACCACCGAGGATTCTGTAGGCTCATCCGACAATCCCACTCGAGGCATCCTTACGCGCTGTAGTAGCCGTCAATACCGTCTAACACTACTTAGAGCGCCACCCGATATTGTCACAGGCGACAACCAGGGCACCTATCAGGGTCGGCTTCGTCCCAACCAATCATCGCGTGGCGCATCCTCGAAGGGTGAGGAAGGTGGGGCGCGGCGTAAGGGAAGGAGGCTGAGCGGCGGGGGATGGTGCCTGCCTCCCGGGAGGCGAAGAGAGAGAGAGAGAGAGAGAGAGAGAGAGAGAGAGAGAGAGAGAGAGAGAGAGAGAGAGAGAGAGAGAGAGAGAGAGAGAGAGAGAGAGAGAGAGAGAGAGAGAGAGAGAGAGAGAGAGAGAGAGAGAGAGAGAGAGAGTGAGCGGAAAGAATTTCGAGAATGCTCAAAAGTTACTCAATAGGACAGGAGTGAATGGCAGATGGTGAGGCGTGTTAGCGACTTTTGAGGCGCCTTGAAGGTCGACAGGATTGTGTGGCAGTTGGTGAAGGAGCTGGGGTGGGCCGTAAGGCGAGGGGGAGGAGGTGATTGAGAAGCGCTAGCGCTTCTCCCTTCTCTCTTCCGAAGGTAGTCCACTCTCGTCATCCCCGCCCTTCCCATTCTCCCCCTCTCCCTCGCCGTCTCCCCTCCTGCCGTTAACGCCCTTCCCATCTCTCCGAACCTCCCACCCCCCAATCCCTCCTCCGTCGCATCTCACCACCCAGCACCTTCCCACAGGCGGCACACACACGGCAGGCGGCAGGCGGCAGGCAGCAGGCGGCAGGCGGCAGGCAGCAGGCGGCAGGCGGTAGGCAACAGGGAACGGGCAACCAGCGGCAGGTGGCAGGGGGGCATGGGGGGCGACAGCGACCGCACTGGCAAGGCGAGTGACAAACATCGCCTTTGAGTGTCATGGGACTGGCAAGGCGAGTAGCACTGTCGACCACACCATTCCCTCAGGAGGCGGATTATTAACATAACCATTGTCGTCGTCATCATCATTGCTGTTGAATCTCCCCTTCCTTATGCTCCTCACTCTGCCTCTCTCTCTGCATAGCGGACTTAAAACCCTCTGACTGACTTCTTTATTTCCTTCGAACTGCATGCATGACAAACTGGGCATGTTTATGGCAAGCTGATGGCTTGTGGATGGCATGTGGATGGCATGTGGATGGCACGTGGGTGGCATGTGGGTGGCATGTGGATGGCACGTGGGTGGCATGTGGGTGGCATGTGCATGTGCATGTGCATGGCAGCAGGTGCAGGAGCGGTTAGCGCGAAGGGTGAAGGATGGGGAGTTTTACGAGGCACAGCAGCTCTACAAGAGCCTCGCTACAAGGTGATTCGTCTGCACGCTTCAGTAACGATTTACTGCAAGTTGCTAACCTGCTTCGAGGCGATTCACTTCAAGTTGTTTTTCTTCGAAATGGTTTCGCTTCGTATCGGAATAATTCCCTTGTGAATTCATGCAGCTGCAGAAGTTTTTGGTGTGCCTCTCTAATGCGCTCCCTTCCACTTGCACTTGCACATTGCATCTCTCCCTCTTGGCAGGTACTCCTCCCAGGTCAAGTACAAGGACGCATGGCGCTGCTTCTGCCGCATCTTATGATGATCATGCCCCTCACCTGTCTCTTCCCCTCTCTCCCTTCGACATTGCACTTCAAGTACGAAGATGCAGCGGCACTGCTGCCATCAGGCCCGTGCAAGCATCTGCAGCAGTGGGTGGTGGTGATTGTCCCACCCCTCAACCCGGTTCTTGCTCTGATCTTTGTGCTCCTTCCACCCCCCGAAGGTACTCCTCACAGTTCAAGTACGAGGACGCCATGGCGTTGCTGCAGGCAGGCGCGTGTGTGTGTTCAATTGCAGCAGTGGGTGATGATGTTGCATCTCCCTCTCCTTGCGCATCTCCCCCCCGCAGGTACTCCTCACAATTTAAGTGCGATGACGACGCCATGGCACTGCTGCAGGCAGGCGCATGCATGCAACTGCAGCAATGGGTGCTGATGGTTCTGCCCCTCAACCCTGCCTGCTCGCATAATCTCATCTGTGTGCTGCATCCCCCTCTGCCTGTCCCCCTCTGCATCTCCCTCTGCCTGTCCCCCTCTGCATCCCCCTCTGTCTGTCCCCCTCTGCATCTCCCTCTGCCTGTCCCCCTCTGCATCCCCCTCTGTCTGTCCCCCTCTGCATCCCCCTCTGTCTGTCCCCCTCTGCATCTCCCTCTGCCTGTCCCCCTCTGCATCCCCCTCTGTCTGTCCCCCTCTGCATCCCCCTCTGTCTGTCCCCCTCTGCATCTCCCTCTGCCTGTCCCTCCCCAGGTACTCCTCGCAGTTCAAGTACGAGGATGCCATGGCGCTGCTGCAGTCAGGGGCGTGTGTGCAGTTGGAGCACGGGCAGGTGACGAGTGGCGTGGAGCTGGCACTGCTGCTCACGGGCCTGCTCTCCTCCTCTGAGACGCCCTGCTGGGAGCTCTAAGAGTGAGGGTGACTTGAACTGGAGCCCTTGAAGATCTGCAAGCACACATGTGTGCAGCTGCAGCACGGCTGCACGGGCAGGTGACCAGTGGCGGGGAGCTCGCTCTGCTGCTCACCGACTTACTCTCCTCCACCGAGACGCCCTGCTGGGAGGACTCCCTGGGTGAGCTCTGAGTGTGAGGCAGCTGAGCCCCTTATGTGCACCAGTCCCCACTCATCTACCCCCACTGCGACGTGTATGAGGATTGGTTTTGAGACGTCTCAAAACCAATCAGTCCCCGCTCATCTACCCCCACTGCGACGTGTATGAGGATTGGTTTTGAGACGTCTCAAAACCAGTCAGTCCCCGCTCATCTACCCCCACTGCGACGTGTATGAGGATTGGTTTTGAGACGTCTCAAAACCAGTCAGTCCCCGCTCATCTACCCCCACTGCGACGTGTATGAGGATTGGTTTTGAGACGTCTCAAAACCAATCAGTCCCCGCTCATCTACCCCCACTGCGACGTGTATGAGGATTGGTTTTGAGACGTCTCAAAACCAATCAGTCCCCGCTCATCTACCCCCACTGCGACCTCCCTTCTCATCCGTTTCTCGTGCCGTCTGCCTCGCATCAACCGCCCTTCCCCCCTCCACAGCGCATCACAGCCGTCCACACCATCTGCTCCGACCCCCTCATCCCCCAACATCTTCCCGCCTACCCGCCCTTGTCCCCTCCCCCTCCTACCCCTCCCCAGAGCGCATCACCGCAGTGTACACCAGCTTCCCGCGCTCAACCGACCCATCAGGTCTGCTCCCGGGTGAATCCGAGGAGGCGGCCAGGCTCAGAGTGGACGGGTGCAAGCGCTTCCTCAGAGCCGCGCTCAAGTACGTGCCCCTGGCTAGGACTCACACGTGGAAGTCTCACCTCGCCCCATCCGCTGCTCCTTGGTGAAACGGACGAGGTGGCCACGCTCAGAGTGGGCACGTGCAAGCACTTCCTCACAGCTGCACTCCACTCCACTCCAGCGACGTGCTTTGCAGACAGATGCCAAGAGGGAGTCCCTAGAGGACTTTGCTCAAATCTCAAATTGGTTCATAGGCGCTGTTGGGTGGTTGCTTACAGAAGCGTAAGGTTGGGTCCTTGTGGGTCACCTGGTGGTCAACCCAGTTCCCTGAAATCCTCCCAGCCCCATCCAGCCCCCAGGCAAATTCAAAACACTCATCACCCTCCTCGCCCACGCCCCCCTCCTCACCCTCTCCCCCCAACCCTGTCTCCCTGTACCCCCTCCGCCTCACCAGGTGGTCCGCCCAGTTCCCGGAAATGCTCTCTGCCCCATCCGGCCCCCAGGCGAACTCAGCACCCTCCTTGCCCTCCGCCCCATCCTCCTTCCCCCCTCCCTGTCCGCCTTCTCCCCCTCACCAGGTGGTCAGCCCAGTTCCCCGAGATGCTATCAGCCCCATCCAGCCCCCAGGCGCAAGCAAAGCCCTCATCGCCCACAGCGTCCTCCCCCGCCGCCCTGGCCTCCCTGGGCTCGCCAGCCATTCACCTCATGCTCGCCCACTGCCTCTCCTCCCAGCTGCCTCCTCATAAACGGGTTGGTGCTTTCCTTTTCTCCTCTCCCCCTCGTCCCCCTCCTTCCCCCTCTTTCATTCCCCCTCCTCTTCCCTTCCCCCTCTTCCTCGCCTCCCTTGCCCTCTCCCCCCTCCCAATCTTCCTCCGCCCTGGCCTCCCTGGCCTCCCCACCCATTCACCCCATGCTCTCTCACTGCCTCCCCTCCCAGCTGCCTCCGCACAAAAGGGTTGGTCCTTCTTCCTTCCCCCCTTTTTCTCTCCCCTCCACACACCTCATGCTTGTACACCTCGTTTTGTCCTCGCGAATGATGCTTCTCCATCCCATGTCTATCTCCTCCATCCCATGTCTATCGCCTCCATCCCATGTCTATCGCCTCTATCCCATGTCTATCGCCTCCATCCCATGTCTATCTCCTCCATCCCATGTCTATCGCCTCCATCCCATGTCTATCTCCTCCATCCCATGTCTATCGCCTCCATCCCATGTCTATCTCCTCCATCCCATGTCTATCGCCTCCATCCCATGTCTATCTCCTCCATCCCATGTCTATCGCCTCCATCCCATGTCTATCGCCTCCATCATGTATCCTGAGAAACTACAGCAGGGTTCTTCCACTTCGTGTGCTCAGACAACCCAAGACTCTTCTGAGTCGACTCAATTGTCCTCCCCGGGCCCCGCCCCCCACGCAGGACTATGCAGCGGCGTTCTTCCACGTTGTGTACTCGGACGACCCCGCCCTCTTTGCTCACAGCCTGGCGGAATACGCACAGCAGGTAGCAACAGGGATGTGTGCCTGAAGGTGCTTTGCACACAGTATTCTATGCGATAGCAACAGGGGGCGTGTGTGTGTGTGTGTGTGTTGCACACAGCTTGCAATGCAATCATGAAATCTCACCTTTGATTTTGTGCCTAGCAACGGCTCCACGCTGGGTTCTCCATGTTTCATCCATCTTCGGCGGTCATTGCCACCCTTCCTTCCCACGATTCAAATCTCTTTCTTCTCCTGCCGTCCCTTTCCTCTGATTCCTTCCTTCCGTTGCACTGTGATTTGCACCGCTACCTTTGCAAAATGCATTTGGCCTTCTTAGACCCATCCAAATATTCCTTCCTTGTCCCTCTGCTTGCTTTTTTCCATTGCGCTGCGTGAGCACTGCAGTGCTACCTCGGCGAGAGGGACCTCGTCACTGCCAGGGCTGTGCTCCAGTAAGTGCTGCCCCTTGCAATCGTATCCTTTCGAGTCAATGAAAAAGATTTGTGATTTCCATTGCACCACCGCTTTCTCAGTCTCTCACCTGGAATGGGCTGCCGACATGCACTGACATGACATGCTACGCCTTCTGGTCGAGGGAGAATCTAGACTTTCATGCCGGCACCCCAAAATGGATGCTGTACAGTACAGGCTCTCATGCTTGGGGTCTGCCATGTCAGAGTGCGTTTTATGGTCTACCATGCCCCAGATAGAGATTGAAGTTGACCAAAAAACACACTCTTTTGATTCTTCTTACACCTCCCCTTTCTTCCCGCGCCTCTCCTCTCCATGTTACTCGCGCTTTGAAGCCCTCACATCAATTGCTCTGATTAGCAGCCCACCGTCCGTCTCATTTCCCCATAACGTGGCTCAGCTTGTCGCCTTCCTCGCCTCCCCCATATCCCCACTCTCCCAGGTGTTCGGCAGCAGGGACTGCAGCGGCAAATCTTTGGACCATTCCTCGCCCATGCCCTCCCTCGCCCATGCCCCCCCTCGCCCATGCCCCCCCTCGCCCATGCCCCCCCTCGCCCATGCCCCCCCTCGCCCATGCCCCCCCTCGCCCATGCCTCCCCTCGCCCATGCCTCCCCTCGCCCATGCCTCCCCTCGCCCATGCCTCCCCTCGCCCATGCCTCCCCTCGCCCATGCCTCCCCTTGCCCATGCCTCCCCTCGCCCATGCCTCCCCTCGCCCATGCCTCCCCTCGCCCATGCCTCCCCTCGCCCATGCCTCCCCTCGCCCATGCCTCCCCTCGCCCATGCCTCCCCTCGCCCATGCCTCCCCTCGCCCATTCCTCCCCTCGCCCATGCCTCCCCTTGCCCATGCCTCCCCTCACCCATGCCTCCCCTCGCCCATGCCTCCCCTCGCCCATGCCTCCCCTCGCCCATGCCTCCCTTCGCTAAGGCCTCCTCTTGCCGATGCACCCTTCCTGCCGACCTCGTGGGGACTACCTAGTGTGGATTAAAAGTGTGTTAAGAGCCTCTAGATCTTAAATATCTATCAACAGAGCAAGGACCCATTAAATGAGGAGGTGAGGCGTGAGGGAGTGAGGAGCAGGGACCCTCGAAGGAACATACAGGAGGGAAGGCAGGGTCGCGTTGGAGGGACGGCTCATAGCGGCGGCGCAGATGAGACAAAAGTGATGGCGCCCTGCGATCAGCTCTGTATGGTGGTGAGGGGATGAGGGGAGGAAGACAGGAGGATTATGAGAGGAAGAAGAGAAGCATTTGGGGGAGGCGCCCCCCGCAGCCGCAGGCCATGGATGATAATAGGACAGAATAAATTTGAAGCTAACCGTTCACTGATTTTCACCTGCTGGTGAGTGCAGGTGGAGTGCGGTGGTGAGTGCAGGTGGAGTAAGGTGGGAGCGGGTGGAGAGGGGTGGGAGCGGACTTTGGGTGCCTGGTAGAACCAGCCCCTATTCAAGGGTCCGTGTTTGAAGAGGGATTTCCGTAAGTGCAAAACTTATCGTGCGTTCTAGAGCGTTCAAAAACTTCGTTGCGCAGCGTTGACAACGAAATGTGCTCATGTGCAGAATAGCTCTTCACGTCAATACGTTGATAGAGCAAGTTAACTCGTCAAAGAGATTCAGAAAATATTTCCACTACAAAGGATGATTACAATCAAGCATAAGCACACATTTTATATTTCGCCTAACACACATCTTAAAGCTTAAATGATCACACCTACCCTCCTCACTTGATCGCACCTACCCTCATCACTTTATCACGCCTACCCTCCTCACTTTATCACACCTACCTTCCTCACTTTATCACGCCTACCCTCCTCACTTGATCACACTTACCCTCCTCACTTTATCACGCCTACCCTCCTCACTTGATCACACCTACCCTCCCCTAGCTCTTACTCCCTGAAGCTTCCTTCCCTCTCTTCCCCTCTTCGTCTTGTTTCTCGCTTCGCTGGCTGGATTCCCTTTTCTCTGCTGGAGCGTGGAGCCATCCTTGCACCCTACCCTTGCCTTTGGAAAGCATGCATTGAATCTCGTTTTCTTTTTTCTCTCCGCTCCTCGTACGACCTACCGCATACCGACCCCACCCCACCCTTTCATTCCTGCCCAAAATTGTGCAATTCAATTTTAACCTCCCTTTGCCTCGCCCGCACAGCTGCTAGATGACATTGCCTTCCGCCTCTTCGGAGTGCCGCGGCCTGTTGCAGCACCCAACTTCCTAACCGACATGCTTAAGGTGAGACATGTCGAAAGTGAGACGTGTTCAAGGTGAGGCCTCCTAAGATAAGATACTCTTAATGATTCGCACAGCATCATGCGACTTCATTTTGAGGGGGCCAAGGGAGAGGGGCAGGTATAGTGGGGGGAGCATGCATGGTGATAGGTGCAGGCATGGTGATAGGTGCAGGCATGGTGATAGGTGCAGGCATGGTGATAGGTGCAGGCATGGTGATAGGTGCAGGCATGGTGATAGGTGCAGGCATGGTGATAGGTGCAGGCATGGTGATAGGTGCAGGCATGGTGATAGGTGCAGGCATGGTGATAGGTGCAGGCATGGTGAGAAAGGATGGGAATCGCATGTTGCAGTGGCCATGATTATTGTCGTAGGTGGGGGAAACGTTTCCACGGCGAATGGACAGGCATCACACCCCCATGCTTCGCATCGCCATGTGTCACACCCCCACGCTTCACAACGCCATGAGTCACACCCCCATGCTTCACATTGCCATGTGTCACAACCCCCACGCTTGTGTCACACCCCCATGCTTCACATCGCCATGTGTCACACCCCCATGCTTCACATCGCCGTGTGTCACACCCCCACGCTTCACGCCTTTCACGCAGTGTGTCTTTTGCATGCCTCCGTCTCTATTCTGCGTCCCCTGCATCCATCTCTGCTCTCTACTCCCTGCCCCCTGCTGCTGCATGTGCAGCTTGTGATGGGAGAGGAGGCACCAGCATAGCTGTTGGTAAACTCAATCGTCTTGTAGAATATGACTTGGTTTTTGTGTATCATGATGGCTTATGTCTTACTGTGCAACCATCTTCGCAGTGCTTCATCCAATGTCAAACGTTCGAAGAAATGTGGCAGGTGACTAAGGTGTGCTGTTTCGAAGAGATTCACGACGTACATATGATGGAAACTTATGGCATACCGGTATGACATATTTTTATGAAACGTGGAAAGTTTTTGTGCAAACACAAAATGCCCATGATGTTGGAAAGTTTACTCAGTGAATCCTTTCCAAGATTTTTGCTAACATTCTGCTATGCACGGGACAGAATCAAACCTATAGGTGGGCTGGTCACACCTTCAACCCACACCCCTCGACTGCAAGCGATGCCGGCTCTCTAAATCCACCATCTCACCACGTGCAAGCAACCCAGCCAGTCCATACCATCAGTCAGTCTGCATGCGCGTCAGCACTGTGCGTCAATGCTCTGCCTTGCTCTTCTTTTTCTTCTTCGGCTTCTTCACGGCATCAGCCAGTGTGAGAGACTCCTCCTTCACCCTGCTCCCTGCACCTCCCGCTGCCGCTGCCGCTGGCAATTCCCCTTCACCTTTCCCAGCAGCTGGCACGGCCCGGGCGGCAGAGGCCTTGGAGGCAGGGGCAGGAGGGGCGGCAGTGGATGGCAGCAGGTCGGCGATGGCGTCTAGTTCCGATCCCAGGCGGGCTGGGATGGTGCGGGAGAGGAGAGGGGGGATGAAAGTGGTTAGGTGGGAAGGGGAGACAGAGGAGTGTGCTTGGGAGTCGACTCAAGAGTCACTGTGGACAGGGTTGGCGATGGCGTCTCGCTCTGATCCCAACCGGGCTGGGATGGTGCAGGACGAGAGGTGTATGAGAGGAGCATGAGAGGAGCATGAGAGGAGGATGAGAGGAGTACGAGAGGAGGATGAGAGGAGTATGAGAGGAGGATGAGAGGAGGATGAGAGGAGCATGAGAGGAGGATGAGAGGAGTATGAGAGGAGGATGAGAGGAGTATGAGAGGAGGATGAGAGGAGGATGAGAGGAGCATGAGAGGAGGCGTCACCTGCTGTTGCTCCCTTGTTGCTCTTCTTGTCGTCACCCTCCTCTTGCAACCTGTGAACCATGAGCAAACACACAGCGAGGCGAGAAGCAGACAGTCAGGCAAGCAGCACAAATGCGCACAGCCAGGGGTGCAGAGCCTTTGAGCATGCCTTGAAGGACAATACCATGCCCATGAGAATGGTACCATCAATGGTACCCCATGGAGCACTTAACGCCCACAGGCAGGCAGCAGTGAAGGCATCACCTGTAAGCTGTAGAGAGGAAAAGCGCAAGAATAGCAGAAGTGAGAGCTCACCACGATGACACCCCTCCTTCGAAGAGTGCATCCACACCCCCTCCTGCTGCTCCCCCTCTCCCCCCATCCCCCTCACCCTCTTCCTCTTCGTCCTCACCATCCTCCCCATCACTTGATTCCTCCTCCCCTTCCTCCCCCTCCTCCCCTTCATCTTCCTCCATCTGCTCTTCCTTCACCCTCCCACCATCACCATCACCACCTGCCTGCCCTGCCCGCACGCCCCCTCCTTTCCTCTGCACGGCAGCAATCTCCGCCGCACCAATCACACCCCCCTTCAGCCCCCCTGCCCCCTCTGCGCCCCCTGCCACTGTGTCCAATCCCACTGGTGCTGCTGCACCGGCAGCAGGGGAGGCATGTCGCTTCACTTTCCTCCGCTGCCGCTCTCCTGCCAGTGCTGCCACCTGAAGGTCCGAGGGGATGGGGCAGGGGAAGGGGTGAACACGTGCACGTGCATGCCCAGGAGGACAATTGCACGCCGCAAGGATGTAGTGCCTCCATCCCCATGCCCCGCCACCATTGCCTCGTTCTATTATGCACACTTTTGCATGCATTGATCACCATACCTTGTTGCAACGTGCAAGCCACTTTCCAGTCAATCAACCCCAATCCGACCTACATCCCTTCACTGCAATCGTCACCAACTCGCCCACACCATCACACCTTATCCGTAAGCATTCTGACCATGCGTTGAGGCACGGAGGCAGCCACGCGGCAGCAGCATTTGAGGTGGGGGAGTGACACCCCCACACTCCCACAGCTCAGCAGCGAGACAACACCTTGTCCATGCGCCCCACTCAAGCTCACCTTATCAGTGAGCGTTTTGATCATGTGTTGGGCCACAGAGGCAGCGACACGGCAGCAGCGCATGAGCTGGGGGAGTGACACCCCGACACCCCCGCCCTTCTGCACGCTGCACACACCCCCCACCGCATTCACCAGCACTGTGCACCTCCCCGCCTGGGCTGCCTCCTCCTTGTAGCTGGGATCCATGACCTGACATGGGATGGTGGGAGGCGGGTGGTTGGACGCACAGGGTTAGGTTGGTGTTTCATGCGCTGGGGGAGTAGCACCCCAACGCCCCCGCCCTTCTGCATGCTGCACACATCCCCCACTGCGTTCACCAGCACTGTGCACCTTCCTTGTTGCGCTGCCTCCTCCTTAAACTGGAATCCATGACCTGGGGTTCAACAGCGCTGTGCGCCGCCCTGCCTGCACCACTCCCTCCTTGGAACTCGGATCCATCACCTGGGGTGGCATGGGTTGACCGTCGATGCACAGGGGTCATATGCACGAACCTGAAATAGCTCTTATGCATGAACCCAAACTAGACCGCATACATGCGACAGAGAGAGCTCCTCACTCAGTTCAGCGTGATAAGAGACGTCACAGCTCGTTGCTCACACAGTGCCCACTTGGAGCCCACACAATCATCAGGACGCAGCACAACCATGCCTCTCAACCATGCATGCATGAAAGTGTGCATTTACCACCAGCTGCAACTGCATGCATGGCCTCAAGAGGAAGGCTGCGCACATGTTGCGTTACACTGGAGCTTTGTGTTGTGGGACAGCCACAAGCTGTGGCCTTGCTCTGAGTGCACTGAACTGAAGCGAATAGACAGCTCTCCCTCCGTCGCATCGCGAGTAAGAACAGGCAGGGGAGGGAGTTCAACGTGCGTGCTTGTGAACCTGATAGAGAGCACATGCTCGCCCCCCCTCCTCCCCACCACATGCGTCCTGCTGACTTGGATGCCCGGCCCCGGAAAGCAAGGAGGCAGGCAAACCTGGCCGGTTGAGAAATGATGCACTGAGTCCTGCTGTCATGTTCGCACTCGGAAACGTTGGAGTGATCCGTCACTTATGGCACACCCATCACGCACCACTCATGGCACACCCATCACGCACCACTCATGGCACACCCATCACGCACCACTCATGGCACACCCATCACGCACCACGTCATTGCCATCGTTGAAGTATGCAAAGGTGACAGCAAGGGGCAGGTTGTGCACTGTGAGGGGTATGGGGTCGCGCTCCTGGGGGGGGAGGGGGGTGGTTGTGAGGGGGGGAGCAGAGGAGAGCAGAGAGGCAGAGGGTGGGTAGATGAAGGTGAAGGTGACAGCGAGAGGCAGGTTGTGCACCGTGAGCAGTATGGGGTCATGCTCCTAGGAGCAGGGGGTGGGGGGGCGATGGGGTGAGCACAAGAGATGGAAGCAGAGAGGCGCAGAATGGGTAGAAAAAGGTGAAGCACCCGCGAGAGCCAGGTTGTGCAGTGCACTATGAGGGGTAAGGATTCTCGCTGCTGGGAGGGGAGAAGGGACGGATGAGGAAGAGTGGGCAGAGAGCACGTTCTTGCAGTGCAGTGCAGTGCAGTGCAGTGCAGTGCAGTGCAGTGCAGTGTGGGCAGTATGTGTCACGAAGGAAGGGGGCGGGGAGTGCCGAGGATGGTTTGTGCACGAGGGGAGTGAGATGTCAAGAGGGAGAGAAGCAGGGAGGAGGACGAGAGGAGAGAGTGTCGCAGGGTGAGCTTGGAGTGCGGGGGGCAGATGTTGGTGCACAAGCAGCGTGCTGCTGTCTGCCTACTATGGGTTGGCGTGCACTGTGGGTGTAAGTGGTGTGGATTCGTGTACGAGTGAACGAAAAATGGTGACTCCACACAGCACCACTCCCTTGCACTGAATGCTTGTGTTAAGATGATCAGCGGAGAGCATCAGATAGAGAGTATTGAATGGCTGTGTCAAGCTGACTGACCCGCTCACCTCCACTGAGTGCACCACCACTTGCATGCCATCGTCCCCCCCCACTGTCACTTCTGGCCGGCGGAACGCCAGCAGCGCTGCCACTGCTGCTAGACAGCACGCATCCACCAGGTTGCTGGAGGACGCAGGGGAGAAGGAGGAGAGGGGTCCAGTCCGGTTACAGAGGAAGGAAGCGTTTGATGCTTCCCAAGCAGCACGCGCCCCACCAGATTGCGACGGATACAGAGGCAGCAGGCATGAAGGGGGGAGGGTGGTGAAGGCAGTTGGGGCGAGAGGGAGTAAGATAATTAGAGCACAAAAGCCGCCAGCAGTGACCATGTGCAGCACGAATGCGAGGGAGCAGAGGCAGTGAGTGTGTGGCGAGAAAGGCAAGGTGGTGCAGGGTGTGTGAAAGGACTTAACCCAGCACCACTGCTGCGTGTACAGGTGACTCACCCATCATTCATTGTCCATGACCATTACTCACCCATCATTGTCCATGACTCACCCATCATTGTCCATAACTCGGATATCCAGTCTGAGCGCCCATGCTGCCCTCCCCGCCACCACACACAGCGACTCCGTGTCCACTGCATGGCTCTCCCTGTGTGGGGATGGACAATCGGGATGGGGATGGGGATGGATGAGCCGCACAGACAGACGGTCAAGGATGCGGCACATAATGGCACCACACACAGCCACTCCGTGTCCACTGCATGGCTCTCCCAGCGGGGCAGAGGAGTGGTGGAAATAGGAATTCACATTTGCCTGAACTTTTAATGGCGTGGCGTGGGCACCGCCAGCGAGCCCTCCCCTCGGTAACAAGCAGCAAGCCCGCTGGGAACCTGTGGGCTGTCGCACCTGTCTGTGACTGAGACTCTTTTGGGAACGTGTGCCCCTATACGGGAATTCATCCTCACCTCAGCCCGCGCTCAATAATTCGTCCCAGCTCTATCGCCTCTTCCCCCGGGCGCCCGGGCACGAAGCGCGGGTCAGCCATGGGGCGAGCTCCGTGAAGCCCCCTGGGACCCTGTAGGCGGTCGCCCTATTTGTGACGGATGCGCGGTGCGCCCCTTTCTGAGACTCTGTCCACCCTTACCTCAGTCCACGGTCAATGAGGCGCCCCAGCTCACTCACATCCTCCCCCGGGCGCGGGCGGCCAGGCACGAAGCGGGGATCAGCCAGGGCCGAGCTGAGTGCTCAGTGGCAGGACGCTAGCACTATAATAACCCGCCTCCCCTGTCTGTGACTGAGAGTCTATCCCCACCTGAGCCCGCGGTCAATGATGCGCCCCAATTCAATCGCATCCTCCCCCGGCCGCCCAGGCACAAAACGCGGGTCAGCCATGGGGGCGAGCTCTGTGAAGACGGCCAGGGAGCCTTCGTTGGGGCGGTCGGGGAAGGGCAGCGTGAGCGCTGCTGAGACTGACGCCAGGACGCGCGTGCTGCCCAGCTGCACCTCTGCTGTGCCGTCATCCCTGGTAAATGGGGCATGGGGGATGATGAGAGGAGCAGGATAGAGAGACGAGGGGAAGGGCAGCGTGAAAGTGGCTGACTGACACGGAGGCGAGGACGCGTGTACTGCCCAGCTGTTCCTCTGCTGTGCCGTCGTCCCTGGGCATGGGAGCTAGGGAATAAGGGATGGGGGATGGGGATGGAGCAGGATAGAGCAGAGCAGGACGAGACGAGGGAAGGGCAGGGAAAGGGCTAATGAGACGTGCAAGAATGCAGGTGGTGTCTACCTGTACCTCTGCTGTGCCATCCATCCTGATGCGACCTGCATCAGAGAATTGGAGAGAGGGTTTGGGGATAGAGGGTTTGGGGATAGAGGGTTTGGGGGAAGAGGGTTTGGGGGAAGAGGGTTTGGGGGAAGAGGGTTTGGGGGAAGAGGGTTTGGGGGAAGAGGGTTTGGGGGAAGAGGGTTTGGGGGAAGAGGGTTTGGGGATAGAGGGTTTGGGGATAGAGGGTTTGGGGGAAGAGGGTTTGGGGGAAGAGGATTTGGGGGAAGAGGGTTTGGGGGAAGAGGGTTTGGGGGAAGAGGGTTTGGGGGAAGAGGGTTTGGGGGAAGAGGGTTTGGGGGAAGGGGGTTTGGGGGAAGAGGGTTTGGGGATAGAGGGTTTGGGGGAAGAGGGTTTGGGGGAAGAGGATTTGGGGGAAGAGGGTTTGGGGGAAGAGGGTTTGGGGGAAGGGGGTTTGGGGGAAGAGGGTTTTGGGGAAGAGGGTTTGGGGGAAGAAGGTTCGGGGGAAGTGGGTTTGGGGGAAGAGGGTTTGGGGGAAGAGGGTTTGGGGGAAGAGGGTCAACATTGACGGATTGGGAAAAGGCGAGTACGGGACAGGTGACGAGGAAGCAGGCGCGCGGGGCGGAATGCGGGGCGGAGGAGCCAGCAAGAGGCATGAAGCAGGTTTCGTGGAGGAGAACGTGCCATCGCAAGTAGAGCTCTCATGGGCAGTGGAGAGAGAAGGATGTTAAGGGTGTATGTAATGGGCGCACGAAAGACGAGGATTCCGGGATAGCGGCGGCATGACGGCGGGCGGCGTGGAAGTGTGCGACATGGACGGCACGAGGTGGGCAAGAAGGTGGGCAACGAAGTTGGGCACGTGGTGTGGTAGAAGCAAGAATGCGGCGGGGTGCGCGTGATCATCGTGACACATGACGAGGGCATTCAAAAGCTTCCAAATGGCGAACATTCCAGGCGAACAGCTGCGCTTAGCAAGGCACGTGGCTCTGCTGTCCCACACGTCGTGTTTGTTAATAGCCCCTCACTCGAGAATGGGTTAAGCCTATACCGCGTACAGTGGCTACCTGCCGAAAGAGACGTCCCAGGAGCGGTAATCGAAGGGCTTGCGGCCATCGACGCGCAGCTCGTCGCGCACCGCCGCGAGAATGAAGTCGCACTCGTTCGCCGACACCGTCGCCACTGCCCCCTTGGCGACCCCCATTGCGACACGCTGCGACTGTCGCTGGCCTCTTCGTGAACCCGCTAAGTAAAAAAATAATCGACTAGTGAAAGCAGCGCAAAACCCGCACTGGGCCGCACGGATCGAACTATGTTAGGTCGTGTCACACATAGGTTACATAGCTTTCAGCGTGAAACTCACACAGCACCTCTTGTAGCACTGCTCATGCTGGTATGTGGCGGTTCAAAGTGGTGAAGCTAACAAACCGCTCTATAATATACAACATCGTAGTCAACCGCTTCAACTGAACAAAATATTGAACCGTGCGTGACACGCCCTTCTAGCCCACTCTAATAATTTTTCACATTTCATGGACGGAATTCTTTGGGGTGCTTGGTTTCGCGAAGCATGGGGTGTCACAAAAGGTCAATTTTCGGTTGGTTTTGTGCGATCCTCGTCAGTTCGTGTTTTTGGAGAACACGCCCTATTGCGCCACGGGGACGCAGAAGAAGCTATTCTTTACACCACCGTAAAGCAATTTTACCAGGCCAGTGGAGATAGTAATTGCACGATTGTCGTCGTAGTCCTCAACCCGTATGTAGAGCAAAGCGAGTGACCTGTATCGAGGACAGAGACAGTGGCCTGTATCGAGGACAGAGAGAGTGACCTGTATCGAGGCCACAAACTGACACTCATAGCGGCGGATAACACGTAAAAACTTTTCCCTGTTCGTTATTATCACCATGTTCACTCTAAAAGTCCATGCTGACGTGGACGCAAACTCCCAGACCAGTACCGCTGCTGCCGTCACCTCTTACAGCGACGCGGTTCGTCGTGCTACTAACGGGGCCTCGCTTAACGCTGCTAGTAGCACCTCGCCGGCGTCAGATGCGGAGAAGCTGACACGTGGCCAACGGCCAGGGGAACTCGAAGGTGAAATCCGCGAAGCTGAGGACCGCGGGGCGGGTGACAACGCGCGAAGTGACAATAACGAGAGCATCCCGTTCTCGTCCGGCAATCCCAAGGTGGAATCGACACGCGGCGTGATTCACCTCTACCGCAACACCGCGGAAAGCCCCGGCTCGCTGCAGAACCTGCCGGTAGGAGCTGTTGGGTGACCCGGGGAAGGGGGTGGGGAGTAAGGGGAAATGAGGGGGAGAGGGGGGAGGAGGTGGGACTACATCGGGGAGATGGGAGCAAGGAAGGCGGTGAGGGTGTGAAGGGCCGTGTGCTGCTGCAGGGTGCAGCGTGTGTGCGGGAACGGCGCACTTACCTTGCCCGTGTTGACTTCTGACGTCTGCTGTTTGCCCATGTTGCCTCTTCTCCACTTTTCCTTTCACATGCCCCCTCACCAGCCCAACAGGGGCGAGGAGCTATGTGTGCTACTAGCACTGTCCACGTACATGCCAACTTCTGTTATTTGCTGTTTGCCCATGTCTCGTCTTGTCTCCCACCCACATGACAGGCGCCCACTTGTGCTGTTTGCGATTTCCCATGCCTCCTCTTCTCTCCCATCCACGCCACGGCGCCACGCCATGCGCCCTCGCTCACCAGCCCGACAGGGGCGTGGAGCCGTGCGGGCGGGCAGTGCCCACGTACATCACAGGCGCTGACTTGTGCTGTTTTCCGTTTGCCCATGTCCCGTGTCCCCCCTGACCCCTTTCTCTGTTGCTCCCTCACCAGCCCGACAGGGGCATGGAGCTGTGTGTGCTGGCGGTGCCCACGTACATGACAGGCGCCGACTTCTGCCAGTTCACTGGCGCACTGCTGGGGGCTATCGAGAGCATGCGCATCGTCAGGTGCGGTTCGGTGCGGCGAGGTAAGGTGAGGTAGGGTGTGGTGCGTGAGAGATGAGGTGGGTTGAGGTTAAGTGCGGTTTGATGAGGTGGGACGTACTGCTGCTGGGGGCCATGAAGAGCATACGCGTTGTCAGGTGGGGTGTTGTGAGTAACACATGTGAATTCAACTCAACCGGAACGACAGACTGTCAGGGCAGTACAGGGTGTTCATGGAAATGAATCGAATCAACTTTCGGCTCTCTGCCTTCTCTGCCTTCTCTGCCTTCTCTGCCTTCTCTGCTGTCCCATGCCCGCCTCGCTGTCCTTTGTCAACTCTTCACCGGGAACGAAACGAACGACAGCCTATCGGAGCACTACATACATGCTGCTCATGCGAATGAATGAATGAATGAAGTCACCTGTCTCCCCTTTGCCTGCCTGTTTCCCTGTCTTTGCCCCTCCTGTCATGTCAACCGCCCCACCAGGAACAACAGCTACATACATGCTCCTCATGCGAATGAATGTTGTCGCTCTTTCCCCTGCTTCCGCTGCTGCGCCCTGTCAACGCTAAGCCAGGAACGACAGCCTATCGGGCCGCTACATGGTGCTGATGCGTGCGAATGGAACGTGTCACATGCCCCCTCTATGCCTCCCTGTGTTTGTGCCCCTCTGTCAACCCTACACCAGGAACGACAGCCTATCAGAGCGCTACATGGTGCTCATGCGAATGAAGTCCCAAGAGGCGGCGGATGGCTTTTTCCGGCAGTTCAACAACAAACCATTTTCCTCCATGGAGGTGCGCCCCTCCCTCCCTCTCCCTCTCTCACACCCTTACAACAAGCCCTCCCTACCCACAACAAGCCCTCCCTACCCACAACAAGCCCTCCCTACCCACATCAAGCCCTCCCTACCCACAACAAGCCCTCCCTACCCACAACAAGCCCTCCCTACCCACATCAAGCCCTCCCTACCCACAACAAGCCCTCCCTACCCACAACAAGCCCTCCCTACCCACAACAAGCCGTCCCTACCCACAACAAGCCCTCCCTACCCACAACAAGCCCTCCCTACCCACATCAAGCCCTCCCTACCCACATCAAGCCCTCCCTACCCACAACAAGCCTGCTCCTCCATGCAGGTGCGCGTGCCACTCTCTCCTCTCTCCCCTGCATCCTCCGCAAAAGCACCTGTTCTACGTCTAGCAACAGCCTCGTTGTTGTTATCAATTAACTCGATGTCAAAGGGCTTGCCTCATCCATAATTTCAAAGGGCTTGCCTCATCCATGATTTCAAAGGGCTTGCCTCATCCATAATTTCTTGCGACAATTATCTCCTCATCCCTCATCCACACACGTCAGAGCGAGCTGTGTGGGGTGTTGTTCATGGGTGTTGCCTTGCCGTCCCCCAGTCCTCGCCCTATCCCCCTGTCCCCCTCATGCCCAATTCCCCATGCGCATCCCACACATCCCATCTGTCAGAGCGAGCTGTCTCAGGTGTTGTTCACGAAGCAGGTATTGGTGACGGCCTCCCATCCCCCTGTCCCCCTCCCCATCCCCTCGTCCTTCTCACCCCCCATTTCCCATGCCCATCCCCCATTCCCACGTGTCAGAGCGAGTTGTGTCGGGTGCTGTTCACAAAGCAGGTGCTGGTGACGGGGTCGCAGGAGGATGCAGCCACGCCCCCCGCGGGCCTCACAGAGCTGCCCTCCTGCCCCGTGTGCCTCGGTAAGCCGCTGGCCATTACCACCATAGCCCCCTCTGCTTCCTCCTGCTCAACTCCCAACCCGCCTACCTGCCCCCTTGCCAGCTTCACAGACCTGCCGTCCTGCCCTCATGCTGCTGCTCTGAGATGGAGACATCAGCGGCTTGCTTAAACGATGTGCCTCCATCTCACTCCTTTCCCCCCTCCCCTCCCTTTTCTGGTTCGTCCGTACGCCTCCCTTCCCTCCCCCATCTGGTTCGTCCGTACCCCTCCTCACCACCCCACCTATCACCCGCCCCCGTTCCTCATGTGTGGGAGTGCATGGCAGAGCGCTTGGATCGGCACATCAGTGGCATCCTCACCACCGTGTGCAACCACTCCTTCCACTCCTCCTGCATCTCCAAATGGACCGACTCCTCCTGCCCTGTGCGTGCTCCTCCTGCCCTGTGCGTGCTTTTGACCTTTGAGCTCACTCAAAGGGCATCCAGTATGCTCGTTGGCGGATGTGCACTCCCACTCGTCCTCTTGTACACGCCCCTCTTGCCCCATGCGTGCATGTGCCGTGTCATGTCCTCTCTGCGTGCATGTGCCGTGTCATGTCCTCTCTGCGTGCATGTGCCGTGTCATGTCCTCTCTGCGTGCATGTGCCGTGTCATGTCCTCTCTGCGTGCATGTGCCGTGTCATGTCCTCTTTGCGTGCATGTGCCGTGTCATGTCCTCTTTGCGTGCATATGCCGTGTCATGTCCTCTCTACATGCATCTGTGCGTGCACCTACCCATCGCCTCTCTGCCTGCTCTTTCATCTTCAAGCAACCATTCCCCCACTCCTCCCCTTTCCCACTCCACCCACGCGCCCCAATGGCTGCTGCGTTCCCCCCCCCCCACACCACACCTGCTGTCACTCATACCAGCTGTGCCTTCCGCATGCCTGCCAGACAGCCGTCCGTCACACAAGTTCTGAGCCCACCACCTTGATTCTTCCCGTCCCGTATTCCCACATCCGCCCCCTCTCCTCTTCCGCATGCCTGCCAGACGGCCCTCCATCACACAAGTTCTGAGCCCCTCAGTAATATATCATCCCCTCCTCCCCCCCCCCGCCCACATCACCACCCGCAGGTGTGTCGCTACTGCCAGCAGCCGTCAGACAAGTCGCAGTGTGCTGTGTGCGGTTCACACGACAGCCTCTGGATTTGCCTCATTTGCGGCTTCGTGGGGTGTGGCCGGTGAGTGCTGCATTCTTGCATGCTTGCTTGCTTTCTTTCTTGCATGTGTGCTGGTGTGGCGTGCTGGTGTGGGTCATGGAGAGACTGGCTGTGCTTTAGGGTAACTCTGCAGTGTCCTCGCCATTCACAACGACAGACAGCCTCTGCATCTGCCTCATATGCGACGTTGTGGGGTGTGGGCTTTGCTTGCTCGCTTGCTGGTGTGGGGGACTGGCTGTGCTTTTGTGCGATCGTGAAGTGTGCTGTGTGCGGCTCATGACATTCTCTGGATCATCTGCTTCGTCCACCTTACCCTTGCTTCCCACCCATCCGCACTTGAGAGCGCCGCAGCACTGCCATGCGCTGGAGGTGACAACTCACAGCAACGTGGAAGTAACCTTGTTCAGCGCACTTCTAGGGTTGAGCAAAGAAACGAACATGTGTTTGGTTCGCCTCGAACATGTCCGAGGCGAACCGAACAGGTTTTGTTTTTAGCTTAAAGTGTTCGTGACAAACGTGTTCGAGGTTCGCCCGAACACGCCTTCACAGGCGAACACCGAACATCTGTTTTTGCTAAAAGTCTTCGCCGAACCGAACGTGCAGGGGCAAACACGAACACGTTCGTATTCGCCCCTTGCTCATCCCTACGCACTTCCTTCCTCCCATCTCTCAAACCCCCCGGCACCACTCCTCTTCCCCCTTCCCCACAGATATCAAGGGGGCCATGCGGAGTCGCACTTCCGCACCTCGCAGCACTGCTACTCGCTGGAGGTGGCGTCGCAGCGCGTGTGGGACTATGTGGGCGACGCCTTCGTGCACCGCCTCGTGCTCTCCAAGACCGACGGCAAACTCGTTGAACTCCCCGCTCCTGGGGACCTTGGCGCTGGGGGACAGGGCGGAGGGGGAGGGGGAGGCGGAGGCGGAGGGGGAGGAGGTGGGGGAGATGGGGGAGATGGGCGTGTGGGAAGGGAGGGCGGGACCGGTGGTGCTAGAGAGGGGAGTGATGGAGGGGGGAAAGAGAAAGGGGGGAGTGGGGGAGTGGGGAATGCAGGGGGAGGGGGAGGGGGGGAGGGGGGGCAGTGTGAAGTGGGGCCGGGGGGGAGCTGCAGCAACCATCACCATCGCCATGGGGGGGATGAGGAATTTGCACAGGCCGTGATGAACAGTAAACTGGAATCGGTAAGGCGCTGTGGTTTCCAGGTTCAGAAACCTCCAGACACCGATGCATTTATCGCATGCTTTGCACTAAAACTATCAATAAGCGGCCACCCGCTCATCACACGCGCAGAGAGTCTGTTCGTGCGTCTGCTGCTTCAGCGCGCATTCGAAGCACGCTCTGCAGAATCTCTCACTGATGTGTTTCTCATCGGCAATCCCTGTTGTTGTCTGCTGCGCTTCTGTTGCTTGCTCTCCCTCATTGTCCATTCAACCCATGACTCATAGCCGCAACCATTCGCAACCATCCATCCATCCATCCATCCATCCATCCATCCATCCATCCATCCATCCATCCATCCATCCATCCATCCATCCATCCATCCATCCATCCATCCATCCATCCATCCATCCATCCGTCCATCCTTCTTAGTTGCTCCGCCTCTTGCTGTTGTGCCCTCCCCTTCCCCTTCCCCCCCCCCCCCCATCTCACCTCTTTCCCCGTGTGGCCTATGAGTACATGCACCTGCTGACCTCGCACCCTTGTGCTCATTACATTCTCACCTCCCCTCCTTTTGCCTCCCACATTTCCCTTGCACCCTTTCCCTCTTCCCCCCCCCCTCCCCCCCTACTCTCCCCTCACCCCCGCCCTCCTCCCCTCAGGTGGCCTATGAGTACACGCACCTACTCACCACGCAATTGGACTCACAACGACTGGTAACTCCACTTCCAACTTCTAAATCTCCTCCACTGTATATTTGTTGCTGTTTTTTATGCGCCTCAAATACCTAATGCCTGACAATGGAGATAAAGGGTGAGGTTTAAGGGCAGTCATACGGTGCACTGGGAAGCTGGAGCAAGGCGAGAAGGAAAAGGGTGAGGTTCAAGGGCAGTTAAAGCGGACGCTGGGGAATCTCTTGAACTGCCACTTCAACTGCCCTTGGACTCACCCTTTTCCTCGGCCTGCTCCAGCTTCCGCAGCACCCCAACGCCCGTTTCAATTGCCATTTTTACTGCACATGCGCGCAGCCCTTTGAGGGGCTGTTAGCAGTAGAAGGGGGCGACGGGTGAACATCACTAAAGTGTCATGACCTTTTGTCCCTTTCAACCCCATTCTTCCTCTTGCATGCACTTGTGTGCAGTACTTCTCATGAGCTGTTTAGCAGCACAAGAGGGGGCGAGGTGTGAACATCACCAAAGTGCCATCACCTTGCGTCCCTTTCACTCCTCTTACTCTCCCTGTATGTGCCCCTCCCCTCTTCCCCCCCCCTACATACACACGCGCGCAGTACTTTGAGGGGCTGTTAGCAGCAGCCAAGGGGGAGAGGGACGAGGCGGTGGCAGCAGCGGAGGCGGCGAGGGAGAGTGTGAAGGTGCAGAAGCTGCAGTCTAGGCTGGAGCGCGCCGAGCAGGAGAAGGAGTTCCTGCGGCAGGTGAGGTGTCGAGGTTGGTTTTGGGCAGGTGAGGTGTCGAGGTTGGTTTTGGGCAGGTGAGGTGTCGAGGTTGGTTTTGGGCAGGTGAGTTGTCGAGGTTGGTTTTGGGCAGGTGAGGTGTCGAGGTTGGTTTTGGGCAGGTGAGTTGTCGAGGTTAGTTTTGGGCAGGTGAGTTGTCGAGGTTAGTTTTGGGCAGGTGAGTTGTCGAGGTTGGTTTTGGGCAGGTGAGTTGTCGAGGTTAGTTTTGGGCAGGTGAGTTGTCGAGGTTAGTTTTGGGCAGGTGAGTTGTCGAGGTTGGTTTTGGGCAGGTGAGTTGTCGAGGTTAGTTTTGGGCAGGTGAGTTGTCGAGGTTGGCTTTGGGCAGGTGGGTTGTCGAGGTTGGTTTTGGGCAGGTGGGTTGTCGAGGTTGGTTTTGGGCAGGTGAGTTGTCGAGGTTGGTTTTGGGCAGGTGAGTTGTCGAGGTTGGTTTTGGGCAGGTGAGTTGTCGAGGTTGGTTTTGGGCAGGTGAGTGGTGGTGGTTGGAGGCGTCAATCTTTGAATCGCATGAAGAGCAGGCCTCTCGGCCTGTGGAACCCTTGTCCTGTAGTAGCGCCCACGCTCTGTGCTTTCTTCCCTGTCTGTTGAACTCACTGTGTGCCTGACTCGTGACGGCAGGTGAACGACTCGCTGATTGAGAACCAGAAGCAATTGCAGGAAGCATTGATACAGAAGTGTTCATACCATCCGTGCCCTGTGCGTCAACCTCTGTCGAATCTATCCCACGCCTGTCATGTGCCGGCAGGTGAACGACTCGCTGATCAAGAACCAGAAGCAGTGGCAAGAGAAGTTGAAGCAGCAGGAGGAGAGGTGAGGACAGCAGGCAGGGCATTGGGGAATGATGAGTGGGTTGTGGTCTGAGGGACATGACATGAGGGGGGATAGTTGTAGAGGGGGGGGGAGGAGAGTGATGTGTTTGGCGTGGGGTGATCAAGTGTTTTGCTAATGGTGTGTGTGGGACCCACCTTCCATGTCAGTGTTATCGGGGTCCGCGTGCATGTGTGCGTCTTGAGCCATGTTGTCTGCTTCTCCAACCCCTCTTGCACTGTAATCCCACCCACGCCACGGCTGCTCAAGGTTTCCCATTGTGTGTGCCTCACTAATAGTGTGGAGCAAATATCGCTTTCTGCTCGATTAGCTTCGTTCATTGCGTGGGCCTGACTGTTTCCACGTTTTTCCCATCTCTCCGTGTTGCTGTGGGATTGTCAGGGAGAAGGCAGCTGTAGCTGCACGCGATGAGAAGATCAGAGACCTGGAGGAGCAGGTGAGAGGAGAGGAGCAGGTGAGAGGAGAGGAGCAGGTGAGAGGAGAGGAGCAGGTGAGAGGAGAGGAGCAGGTGAGAGGAGAGGAGCAGGTGAGAGGAGAGGAGCAGGTGAGAGGAGAGGAGCAGGTGAGAGGAGAGGAGCAGGTGAGAGGAGAGGAGCAGGTGAGAGGAGAGGAGCAGGTGAGAGGAGAGGAGCAGGTGAGAGGAGAGGAGCAGGTGAGAGGAGAGGAGCAGGTGAGAGGAGAGGAGCAGGTGAGAGGAGAGGAGCAGGTGAGAGGAGAGGAGCAGGTGAGAGGAGAGGAGCAGGTGAGAGGAGAGGAGCAGGTGAGAGGAGAGGAGCAGGTGAGAGGAGAGGAGCAGGTGAGAGGAGAGGAGCAGGTGAGAGGAGAGGAGCAGGTGAGAGGAGAGGAGCAGGTGAGAGGAGAGGAGCAGGTGAGAGGAGAGGAGCAGGTGAGAGGAGAGGAGCAGGTGAGAGGAGAGGAGCAGGTGAGAGGAGAGGAGCAGGTGAGAGGAGAGGAGCAGGTGAGAGGAGAGGAGCAGGTGAGAGGAGAGGAGCAGGTGAGAGGAGAGGAGCAGGTGAGAGGAGAGGAGCAGGTGAGAGGAGAGGAGCAGGTGAGAGGAGAGGAGCAGGTGAGAGGAGAAGTACTTGATGGGGGCGATGGGGCAGAGGAGCAGGTGAGAGGGAGTTTGCTGTTGTACCTGGTCCTAATTTGGACGGAGGTTGTTCTTTGAAGTTGACTCGTGCCTTGAGGGGTTCTTGCCAGTGTTTGTTGCTGAAGCTGTCCCATCATGCTGCCACTCGTCTCCATCACCATGCTGCCACTCGTCTCCATCACCAATATTCCTGCCACATGTCGCTACATATAGAATCACTTCTTGAAACGCGCTGACTGCAGTGTCTCCTCTCCCCTCGTCCACGTGCCGCCTTAGGTGTGAAAGCTGTGTGGGTGTGCTTACAGCTACTTCACAGCCTCACACTTGTTTGTCACTGCCCAATCTCACACCCCCCGGTTCCCCCTTTCCCCCTCTAACCCCATCCCTCCTCTCCCCCCCTCTGTTGCGGGACCTGCTGGTGTTCATAGAGGCACAGAAGACAGTGGGGCGAGAGGGCAGGGCAAAGGTGTGTTCTGACTGGCAGTGTGATGGGGTGTGCATGAGGCACGTGTGCATCACTTCTCTCCCTACCCCCTTTTCCCCACTTCAGGTGCGGGATTTGATGGTGTTCATAGAGGCACAGAAGATAGTGGAGCGAGAGGGGGGAGCGGGAACAGCAGAGGGCATCAGGGAGGGCACTGTGGTGGCTGTGGGGGGGGCGCCTGCTGCCGGGGAGAGAGGGGCAGGCCGGGCAAGGGGGCGGCATGGGAAGAGGCGATGATGCTGCTTGTGGGATGTGCAGACAAGGCGAGTAGTGGTTGTCTGGTTGGGATGCAGAGAGGGCAGCCGAGGGCATCAGGGAGGGCACTGTGCTGGCTGTGAGGGGGGGCGCCTGCTGCCGGGGAGAGAGGGGCAGGCCGGGCAAGGGGGCGGCATGGGAAGAGGCGGTGATGCTGCTTGTGGGATGTGCAACGAGGAGAAAAGTGGTGTGTGGGATGTAGAGCAGGCAGCAGAGGGCATGAGGGAGGGCGCAGTGGTGGCTGTGGGGGGGATGGCTCTGAGGCGATGATGCTGCCGAACCCATAGCCCAGACACACAGAGGGCAGTGATATTTGGGGCCTCGAGAGGGCGTCAGAGCGAGGAGCTTCTTGTTGGCCCTGGTTGTTGATATAAGCGAGAAGTGAGATCACACATGAGAGATATGTGTACCCAGCTTGTGTACAGTTATGCATGCTTGTACAGATACCGTAGATTACTGCCATTCAGCAGAACAAACGCGAAAGCGCTTCCTGTCATGTTTTTAAGTTTTATTGACCATTTTTGCATGTTACTGTAATCCGTTGCTCTCATCTCATCCCATGACCTTTGTCCAGGTGGCCGATTCTGCAACAAAAATATAATAGTTGCTAAACCGTGTAAGCTAAACAGGAAATGTACACTGAACCAAATCCGCTGAACAATATACCGTATTCTCCCGGACATAACACCCGGGGGTATTATGATAACCACAGGGAAAAAAGGGGGGGGGTCCTCTCAACGGAAAATCCTATATAATACCCGGGTCTTATTATATGGTATATGTTTTTTAAGCAGAAATGATGTGAAACAAAATCAGCTACAATGCGTTCACTGTTAGATTGTTGTTCAGAGCCGCAAAACCGAGTATACGAGGATAACGTGCCCCCCCACTGGAATCTACCACATGGCAAATTCCAGTGGGCAACTCTGGCACCTGATTGGGTGAAAACAGAGCCAGCCTTGCGCAGCGAGGGTTCATGCAACCACTTGGGCTGGAATCGCGCACGGCGCTGTGCTGTCACTGTACCAGTCACGTCTTGACTGGTTTGGTCACGTCCATGTGCCTCAAATGGGTCTCACTTTCTCCTCGTACAGCGGTTCCACTGCACGCTACTAAACACTGCTCGGCAGGCTGTGAGAGCGCCTCCGTCCAACACTAGAAAAAGTGTTGATTATAGGCCTTCCTTCTATGGCGAGTGACACAAATCTGCCGTAGAGGATGACTTCCTCTCCCAATTCAAGCGGTACAGTAGTTAGGCGCCAGCGGCCTTGTACCACTCCTTCTGCCGCTGCTGCACGCGCACGGACGTCGCCTCGCCCCGTCTTGCCACAACCGTCTCCTCCCGTTAGTGCTTCTGCCGGGGATGAACCGAGTAGTAGCTCCGATGCTGCTCGCCCTCCCTTTCCTCGAGTGGCTATCCCCACTTTCCCGGAGCGTAAGCGCCCGCAGGGTCAGCTGAAGCGCAACGCGGACGCTCAGCCACCATCCCCTCGCCATCGCATGACGAAGAAAGTCTGTAAGGCGATCACCGTGAAGGAGAAGCTGCACTGGTTGAAGATGCAAGACTCTCAGCCCGACCTGGGGAATCGCGCCTTGGCGAAGCTCGCGAAGGTGCAGCCCTGCCAGGTCCGCGAATGGAGGAAGATGAAGGAGCGGCTGGAGGTCGCATCTAGCTGCCGCCGTCGCCTCATGGGATCTTGCCGCAAGGCGAAGTACCCGTTCATGGAACGGGCTGTCTACCGCCACTTCCTTAACCACCAGGCGAAGGGCCTCGCCGTTTCGGTCCGCATGCTCCAGCAGTGGAGCTCCAAGTACATGAAGCACCGCATGCCCTCGGTGAATTGGCGCGCTTCGTTCCGCTGGGCAGCGCGTTTCCGCGCGCGCTGGCACTTGGCAAGGCGGGTGAAGATGAAGATGGGGCAGAAGTTGGCGGCCGGTAAGTGAAGCAACCGTGCGCCTGGGATTACGCGGTCGACGTTTACCTTACGCGTGCCGTGGCTTTGTTTGCAGATTGCAAGGCCAAGGTGGAGTCATTTTGGGAGTTTGTGCGCCAGATGCGCACTCTGCACGACTACCCACTCGACCTCATCGTGAACGCGGACCAGACTCCGCTCTTCCTGGAGATGCCGGCGGAGTGCACGATCGAAATGAAGGGTTCGCGTACGGTTCACGTACGCAGTGCAGGCTACGAGAAAGAGCGTGTTACTGTCATGCTGGCAGTAACGGCGAGAGGGCTCAAACTACCTCCGTACGTCGTGTTCAAGCGAAAGACCATCCCGAAAGTGCCCATCCGTGCTGGTGAGTGCACCACACCTATGGTTTTTACCGTGCTCTTGCCTGTCACGCGTCGCAACTTACTAACACAACTCTCGCGTTGTGCCGATGGCAGGTGTGGTGGTCCGTGCACAAGAGAAGGGGTGGATGGACGAATCTCTTGTGCAAGATTGGATCACCCAGGTGTTGGTGCCGTTTCTGAAGCCCCTGCGGGAAACCACCGGCCGGCGCAGGGAGGCGATGGTGGTGCTCGACTCCTACCGCGGCCACTTGACGGAGGCCGTCGGTCAGACGATGCGCATGTTTCGGTTGTCAAGGGCGGTCATCCCAGGAGGCTGCACACCGCTTGTGCAGCCACTGGATGTGTAGGTTAACCGTGCGTTCAAGTGCGGGGTGCGTTCCCGCTACAGCACATGGTTCGAAGATGACGGCATCAACCAAACCACACGCGCAGGTGAGTTGACGCCATGAATTCCGTTCGAGCAGCATCGTTCTAACGTCAGCGCACGCACTGCAAGTACACGCTCTTGAATCCCTTCCCTTCCCTTCCCTTCCCTTCCCTTCCCTTTCCTTCCCTTCCCTTCCCTTCCGACAGGCAACTTGAAGAAGCCGCCTGCAGACTTGGTTCTCCGCTGGATCGACGAGTCCTGAGAAGCTGTCCCAGAGGATCTTGTGAAGAAAGCGTTCGTCACCTGCGGGATCTCCACCGCCATAGATGGCAGCGAGGACCACCTCATCCTTGCCCACATGCGGGACAAGGGTGAGGTGGAGGTGCTTGAAGACGTTAACGAGCTGATTGACGACGAGCTCGTCGTCAACCCCTTCTACGCCGAAGCCCCCGTGCCGTCCGAGGAGCTGCAGCCGGCAGAGGAGGATGTGGCCGCAGAGGAGGAGGCGGAGGCGGCGGCGGCGGCGGAAGAGGAGGAGTGGAACACGCCTGAAGAAGGGGAGGAGGCGGGAGTGTACAACGAAGACGATGAGGAGTGGTGGCGTGCCGGCTGCTATGACGGAGAGGAGTGTGAGGAATGGGTCGCTGGGGACGATGAGGACTAGATAGCACCAGAAATAATGTAGTGCAAAGTCATAATACTCTGTATGTGGTGATGTTTCTGTTGTTTAGGTGTAACTGTTGGGTCTAGGTGGTGGCGCTATGTTTCAGTATTAGATTGCACCCCCTAACTGTGTTAAATTTAAGACGAATATGCAATGTTTCCGCCCATAACACCCTCCCCCCGGGTCTTATAGAGAATCACCCCAAAAGGGGGGGTGTAGTACAAGCGAGGTCGGCTATAGCACCCCCCCCCGCACAAGCTACCCGGGGGTGTACTATTACGGGGGGGTGTTTTGTCCGGGTGAATACGGTATTACAGCACCCAATACACTGACCTACGTCACTGTTCAGCCTGAGACTCCCTCTTCTGCTTGTATGCGTGAATGGGTGTGGGGTCTCTACCGATGTCCTTGCTGCCAGCATTCAGGTACGGCCCCCGCTGCACTGCCTGCGGGCTCAGCGCCCCCTCCCTCTCCACCAGGGGCTGCGAGTGGAAGCGGCTGCGGCACAGGGGGGTGGGGAGGGGGAGAGGAGAGGGTACCAGAGGCAAAATGATTCTCAGATTTATACGGGAGAATGAGAATAGGTAATCCTGCCTGCGGGCTCAGCGCCCCCTCCCTCTCCACCAGGGGATGCGAGTGGAAAGGGCTGGGGAGGAAAAAGGGGGGAAGGGAGGGGAAGGAAGGAGAAGGGAGGGGAGGCGAGGGAGGGGGAGGGAGAAGAGGGGGAGATGGTGCTCAGATTCGCATAGGGAAATGGGATCCACAGGCAGTGCTGAGAGGTGGAGCACAGAGGAGCGGAAGGTACCAGAGGAAATTTGTTTTTCAAAATAGCACAGGAAAACGAGGCTAGAAATATCCTGCGTGTGGGCCAGCGGCCCCTCCCCCTCTGCCAGCAGCTGAGAGTGAAAGAAGCTGGGGAGCAGTGAGGGCTAGGGGAGGGGAGTGGAAGGGAGAGTTGGGGAGGGAGGGGGGGAAGAATGGAAAAGAAAGAGGTAAATCGACGTACAGTCCTCTGCACCATCAGCTCCGAGTGGAAGCGGCTGCAGCGGAGTGAGGTGGGGGCGTTGGAATGGGAGGCGAGGAGAAATAAGGAAGAAAAGGCAAGTGACAGTGCAGCCCTCTCCACCAGCAACAGCGTGTGAAAGTGGCTGGGGGCAGAGGAGGGGAGGGTACGAGGAGGAAATGGTCGTCGGATTCGCATGGGGAAATGAGGCTCTCAAGATCCTATCTGCGGGCTCAGCGCCCCCTCCCTCTCCACCAGAGGCTCCGAGTGGAAGCGGGTGAGGAGAGAAGGGGAGGAGGGCACGGCACAGGAGGAAGACGAGGAGCAATGGTTTTCAAGATCGTCTGGGAAAACAAGATTGTCAATATTATGTTTTGTCAACATTCTGCCTGTGGGTTCACCAGGGAAGCTGCTGGAGAGAGGTGAGGCGGACGGAAGGGCAGCCTGAGTGAGAGAACGGATAATTTGGGAAGAAATGACGCAATCACATTCGGGGAGCTGTTACTGGGAATATGCTGGCAAGCCGGCAGGGAGGGAGGAAGTGCGGAGGAGGTGGGTAGGTGAGGAGTGACACGAGCAGCAGAGGAAGAGCGCAGGTGAGGAATGGAAACGGGGAGACGGGCAGGGATGCGAGGGAGGCAGTACCGCAGTAGCAGCTGCAGCAAGAGAGTCCCGAGGGTGAACACGCCAGCGCAAGCTTTACGCAAGCAGAGAGGAGTGCAGGTCAGAGAAGAGAAGGAGTGGACAGGCGGGGGGGAGAAAGGGGGCAGTACCGCAGCAGCAGCGGAAGCGAGAGCGTCCCGAGGGTGAACACGCCCAGAGCGGCCGCCACCACGAGATTGCGCTGTCGGCAGGCCGCCGCGCCCGCCATTCGCGAGCGAAGATCCGCTATAACGCGAGAATCGCGAACGAATCGCTGCTGCTGGCTGTGAAGGGGTCTCGGTGGTGTGCTTTCAGCCAGCCGCCTATTCCATCATTCGTCTACAGCCCCTCGCCTCGGCCCCTCCTCTGCCGCAGCAGCTGGTTACCAAAAGCCTCGCTGACTCACACGATCCGGTTCCCCGCGCCGCCGATTACTACCGCTCGTCGCGTAATCGCTTGATCGCCCAATCGTCCGCTTAGGCTCGTTGTTTGATAACCTTATCGCATCGCTAGAAAACGGTTCCTCAGCTCCTCGTGCATCCGCGGGTCGTTGCGGTTCACATATTATGGGCAAGACCGCGCTTAATAACAATTAAGTCTGACGGCGACTTGCTAAAACGCGGAGAGAAGATTCGGAAGTGAAGGACGAAGCGGTGGAGGCAACCTTGGGAGAACAGCGGCAGGAGCGGCGGAAGGAGTGGCGAGGCTGTAGGTTTTGTTTTCTAGGGCGACCCAGGCTGACCCGCCAGGCAAGGTCGGCTTTGATTGGTGGAGGCGGACTGAACTTCGAATCTGTTTCGAAATACGTGACGACTTTCGTCATCCGTGGAAACCACGTCACTGATTGGGCGACTTTCGCCTTTCGTGTTGTAGTTGTTCGCCTGTGACGCAAATTCAGTAAAAACCCCCAAATCGTTTCACACGGTTACCAAAGCAACATTGAAGGTCCTTGAGATAAACCGACTGCGCTACTGGTGTGGCTATTTTGAATAAAGAGGGAAATGATCAAAGAGGGGCCGAACAATAGCAGGGAGGTGACCGAATTAGGGCCGGGTTGATCCCAACCGTCGGATATACCCCCGGGGCTGCCAAAGTGGTTGGTCCGAGAATCCGAACCAAGATACAAAGGAAATTACTAATTGCTCGAGTTTCTTGGTTAAATGTTGTTTTCATGGTTATGATCGCCGCCTAATACGAAGCTTGCGTCGCATTCCTCTGGAAGTAGGTTTCGTCATGTTTATATATTTTGGGAAATGAAATGCGTAATCGTTCTCGAAAAAAATACATCTTTTTAGCTGACATAAATAATAAAACGCCAAACGGATGCGACTCGGGAGGCATCAACCCTAAACACCAGGCGGGTTCCCGTGTTTAGGCTTGATCCATACCGAAAATGCGTCCGGGTTCCCTATTGGTTTTAGTTTTTTTAGGCTGCCCTAAACTTTCCCGGTAGCGTCGGTAACCGTCGGTAGCGCTACCTGGCTCGCTAAACGACGCTACCGGATGGAAAAAAAATATTCATTTACGATATCCAAAGAATATTGAGGTGTGAGCGAAAATGTAAGCCGTGACGAACCTCTCTGTTAATCCCCCCTCGCGCAGCGGTTTGGTCAGTTTCGGGCCTCTCGGCCCCTGGTTGATCACCTCTCTGGCACTGTACGGCCCCTCTTTGATCATTTCCCTTCAAAAAAGCCACACCAGTAGCGCAGTCGGTTTATCTCAAGGACCTTCAATGTTGCTTTGGTAACCGTGTGAAACACATCAAATCACATGCTCTTGCCGCACCAGAGACACAGCAACACCATCTACTATCTCATCGCCGCGTTTCCTACGCCCCGCATTATTCTGCCTGTTCCCTCGCCCATGTTAGCTGAGTGGAGCGAGGGAGCACATGGGCTTACTCGTTCGCTCCCTTCACCTGCGCTCTACTCCCGTTCTGCTTATCGCAGACTCCTCGCACTTAATCACCTTTCGCACTCGTTCGTTCGCTCTAGCTAGCAGCTTCGCTCCGAACCTCGTCCACAAAATCGGATCGAACCTCACTTCCAGCCTTAGTCGCAGCTCCTCCATTAGGAATCTCTTGTGCCCATCCGAGTTTCCGCGCGCTCTTCCCCTTGAGTCAACTCGCTCTCGCTTGGGAACGTGTCGCGGAGCTAGCAGGGCCGTCCGATCCATGATGGCTGACGCGACGAATTCTTCTTCCCGATCCGCCTCCGCGCACAGCCCCACAGACGCCGCGAAATGCGGCGCGAAACGCGGGGCTTTGATTGTGCTCGAAGGGCTGGATCGAAGCGGCAAGTCGTCGCAGGTGGCTCGGCTAGTGGCTCACTTAGAAGCCCGGGAATTAGGGCCAGTGAAGGCAATGCGGTTTCCAGATCGCAGCACCACGATCGGACGGGAGATCGACGCGTATTTGAGGGAAACGAAGGAGATCGAGGACCGTCGGATTCACGAGCTGTTTGCGGCGAATCGATTTGAGAAGAAGTGAGATAAGAGGGTGGAGGGGCACAGGGGGGAGGGGGAGAGTGGCGCATGTAGGGAAGGGATGAGGGAATGAGGGAGGGCGGATGAGGCGAGGAGAGGGGGTTGGTTGTGTAGGGAAGGGAAGTAATATGAGGGAACGTGATGGCACGGCATCACATTGTGCTGGTCGCATGGCATCACATGCACGGTCGCATGGCATCACATGCACGGTCGCATGGCATCACGCGCACGGTCGCATGGCATCACGTGCACGGTCGCATGGCATCACGTGCACGGTCGCATGGCATCACGTGCACGGTCGCATGGCATCACGTGCACGGTCGCATGGCATCACGTGCACGGTCGCATGGCATCACGTGCACGGTCGCATGGCATCACGTGCACGGTTGCATGGCATCACGTGCACGGTCGCATGGCATCACGTGCGCGGTCGCATGGCATCACGTGCACGGCCGCATGGCATCACGTGCACGGTTGCATGGCATCACGTGCACGGTCGCATGGCATTACGTGCACGGTCGCATGGCATCACGTGCACGGTTGCATGGCATCACGTGCACGGTCGCATGGCATCACGTGCACGGTCGCATGGCATCACGTGCACGGTCGCATGGCATCACGTGCACGGTTGCATGGCATCACGTGCACGGTCGCATGGCATCACGTGCACGGCCGCATGGCATCACGTGCACGGTTGCATGGCATCACGTGCACGGTCGCATGGCATTACGTGCACGGTCGCATGGCATCACGTGCACGGTTGCATGGCATCACGTGCACGGTCGCATGGCATCACGTGCACGGCCGCATGGCATCACGTGCACGGTCGCATGGCATCACGTGCACGGTCGCATGGCATCACATGCAGCAGAGCCTCTCTGCAAACTTATGCTGTGCTGCGTGCTGCTCCCCATTTCCCTCTCCTCGGTAAAACAGGAGCTGGAGAAGGCAGCAGAGATGGTGGCGGCGCGGTAGGAAGAGCATGTGCAGCAGAGGGAGAATATGCGGCACCTGGTTGTCCTGGAACTGATCGTGAAGACTTGTGCATGCGTGTGCTCCCCTTTTACTCCCCCCCACTCACGAATGCGGCAGGCAGAGGGTAGCGGAGGAGGTCGGCTTGTGGCACAGGGAGCATGTGCGGCAGGTGGTTTTGAGAATTCTCAAAAACACGCTGCGAATTCTCATCAACAGGGAGCACGTGCGGAGTCAGGAGAGCCGGAGGAGAGGCGGCGGCAGCGCGTGAAGTAGGGTGTGTGGTGCCTTCAGAGCCACACCTCAAACCCCAACACTTGCCTCTCACCCTCTCTTCATCCGCTCACTCTCTCTGCTGCCTGCCTGCCTACCGCTCCCCTGCTGCCTCCCCCCGCGCTTCCCTGCTCGCCAGGGAGGAGATGAAGGTGCAGATGGCGGAGGGCACAACGCTGGTGGTGGGCCGCTACTCGTTCTCAGCAGTTTAGCCCCCCCCCCTCTCTTCTCTCACGCTGCCTCCCCGCCCCGCTCCCCCGCTGCCTCTCCCCCTCCCTTCGCTTCCCTGTTCGCCAGGGCAGAGATGGAGGGTTTGATGGGGGAGGGCACAACACTGGTGGTGGACCGCTACTCGTTCTCAGGCATCGCATTCTCAGCCGCCAAGGGCCTTGACGTGCAATGGTGCAAGGTGAGCTAGGTCAGCTAGCAGCTGACCAATACTGAGCTTCGGTTTTGCCCTTTCACATTCAGTTTCATCTCCATGTCGTCGTACCACCATGCATGTTATTTGGTTACCCTTGTTTGCTTTGCAATCAACTTCTTTCCACCGTCTCGTGTTGTGCTCTCATCGCCCATCAGTCCACGGAGGTGGGCCTGCCAGCACCAGACATTGTCATCTACCTTCACATTGATCCACAGGTATTGCCTTAATCCCATTCCGCCATCCTTCCTCGTGCAATTACGAACCTACACCTGCATTCAACCATGCCCCCCCCACATGCATTGTCCCGCTCTTCCTCGCCAATTATTTCCTCCGTGATTGTCCCTGGCTCCCCACCGTGTCGTTTTCATGTGCTACTCGTTGGATACAACAATTCGCAGTATGCTGCAGAGCGGGGTGGTTACGGTGGAGAGCGGTACGAGAAGGTGGAGTTCCAGCAGCGAGTGGGTCAGCATTTCCATGCACTGAAAGACGACACCTGGGTGGTGAGAACCTCCCTGCCCGTGTGACCCGTGCAACCCCTCCTTCTCCAACTGCCTGTTGTCTTTGTGCGTCATCTTCCCTGCCTACCACCTGTTGTTACAATAAAAACCATCAAAACGTTCATCAACAGGTGGTGGATGCATCTCAACCATTGGATGACGTTGCATCCGACGTTTGCAAGGTGGCAGAGTCCATGGTGTGCAAGTGCAAGGCCGGGGTGCTTCCTCTACGATACCTGTGGTAGTCACAACCCTCCTGCGTGTTCATTCAAACCAGTACGACATTTGTCTGTTCTTATTTTCAATTTCTTTTAGTGTTCTGTACATATGCACAGCTCGAGGCTGGATGGTCACTCACTGTTTCGCTCTTGTTCGCCCTCAAAGCCTCACTTTGCTCGTCTCATCAGCTTGCACAAAACTTCTCACTGCCCTGGCTACACCTGCCATTTGTAGTACTGCGTGCCGCATGCTGTGTTTCTAAGTCCACCTGGCCACACCGGAGACCACTGACCACTGACCACCGGAGACCACTGACCACTGACCACCGGAGACCACTGACCACTGACCACCGGAGACCACTGACCACTGACCACCGGAGACCACTGACCACTGACCACCGGAGACCACTGACCACTGACCACCGGAGACCACTGACCACTGACCACCGGAGACCACTGACCACTGACCACCGGAGACCACTGACCACTGACCACCGGAGACCACTGACCACTGACCACCGGAGACCACTGACCACTGACCACCGGAGACCACTGACCACTGACCACCGGAGACCACTGACCACTGACCACCGGAGACCACTGACCACCGGAGACCACTGACCACTGACCACCGGAGACCACTGACCACTGACCACCGGAGACCACTGACCACTGACCACCGGAGACCACTGACCACCGGAGACCACTGACCACCGGAGACCACTGACCACCGGAGACCACTGACCACCGGAGACCACTGACCACCGGAGACCACTGACCACCGGAGACCACTGACCACCGGAGACCACTGACCACCGGAGACCACTGACCACCGGAGACCACTGACCACCGGAGACCACTGACCACCGGAGACCACTGACCACTGACCACCGGAGACCACTGACCACTGACCACCGGAGACCACTGACCACTGACCACCGGAGACCACTGACCACTGACCACCGGAGACCACTGACCACTGACCACCGGAGACCACTGACCACTGACCACCGGAGACCACTGACCACTGACCACCGGAGACCACTGACCACCACCGGAGACCACTGACCACCGGAGACCACTGACCACCGGAGACCACTGACCACCGGAGACCACTGACCACTGACCACCGGAGACCACTGACCACTGACCACCGGAGACCACTGACCACTGACCACCGGAGACCACTGACCACTGACCACCGGAGACCACTGACCACTGACCACCGGAGACCACTGACCACTGACCACCGGAGACCACTGACCACTGACCACCGGAGACCACTGACCACTGACCACCGGAGACCACTGACCACTGACCACCGGAGACCACTGACCACTGACCACCGGAGACCACTGACCACTGACCACCGGAGACCACTGACCACTGACCACCGGAGACCACTGACCACTGACCACCGGAGACCACTGACCACTGACCACCGGAGACCACTGACCACCGGAGACCACTGACCACCGGAGACCACTGACCACTGACCACCGGAGACCACTGACCACTGACCACCGGAGACCACTCAGAAACGTTGAGCCGTGAGTTTGTCCTCCAGCGTGCACTCATTCGTGGGTCTGATCCGAACGCTCTTGTGCCCACCAGTGTACATGGCATTGCTCACCACACCCACTACGCATCACATGTTCCCAGGACAATGGCAGCAAAGGGAGGAAGTCAGTGGCAAAAGGTTGAGAGGGATGAAGGAGCATGGCAGGTGGGGGCGGGAGCTGGTTGAAGTACTTAGCTGTGGTGCGGATGGGTGCAGTTGACGCAGAATGGTGGGTGCAGCAGCTGCCCTCCTCTCTGCATGCCGCATGTTGCTTGCTGGGCGCTGGGCGCTGCTCCCCCTGACAGGGGGGGGTGGGTGGAGAGGGGGTAGGAAGGGCACAAGGGCAGGAGTGAGTGAGTGAGTGAGTGGGAAGCAGCTGATGCGGATTCAGTGACGTCAGCTGCAAGCGATAAGCAAGGCAGGCATGCAAGTTATGTCCAAGGCTGCTGTAGCGCACCCGTGGGGAGGGCTGAGGGGGACCTGAACCTCACCTCACCATACCAAGGGAATAAGTACTGCACCTGCCGGGGAACACCTACATCTGAAAGAAAGAGGGGGAGCCTTCGGTTCGGCACTGGTAGCCAGGTGGACGAGTAAAACGCCCAGGGCAACGGGGAGCATGCGAAACGACAGGTGGAAAAACAGGCGAAAATGGAGTTACTGGAGGAGCGATGCTCATATCTTTCTTGGCTGATGGTTAGCCAATGCTGCTCCCCCTGCTGCTCCCTCTGCTGCTGCCTCCGCTAGTGTCTCTGCTGCTCCTTCCGTGCCCCACGTTGCTTCACGCCAGCACGGCACTGAGAATCAGGGAGGAGAGGGCGAAGTGGAGGAGGGGGTGGGGAATTAGAACCAAGAGCATGAAATAAGGTTCAGTCGAATCACAGACGGTCTATTCCAGATGCGCATACAGGAGGGAAAGCACATTTGCTGCAGCACACCCGAGGGGAGTGGGGGGGCCTTACTTTACTGTACCAGGGGTAACAAGTTGTGCAGCTACCAAGGGAAGGGAGGCACATCATGGTGCTAGAGTTACCGTATGTTTTATAAAAACAGCTTACTGCATTGTCTAGTGTAGCTACAGTGCATCTATCTGTGGGTGGTGCTCGTGCAGGCCCTCAGATTCACTTTTTGGGACGCTGATGCATCAGGGTCCCTGTGAAAAAAAAGGCTGTTTTTCCGTGTTCCTAAAAAGAATAGCCTGAATTTTCAGGGTTCCTAAAGATAAAAGCCTGATTTTCACCCTCATGATATCTTTGAATATGAACGCAATCCTTACGAGACATGCCAGCCCAGGCCTCGAACCCGGGACCTACCGTATCGCCCCGGATATGAGCGCAGGCCTACCGTAATCTCCCGGATATAAGACCCTAGGGTCTTATGTAAAATTCATCAAAAAAATGGGGGGGGTCTTGTCAAAGGGTAAAGATTGTATAGTACCCGGGTCTTATGATATGGACGTGTTTTTTAAATGTGTATTCAAATGCCTCTTTGATCTGGATGCCTGTTTTTTTTTATTTTTATTCTCGATAGGTCCGCGGATGTGAGTATTCGCAATATAGGTACATCACAATGAAATCTGGTTGTGACCTCCTAATTGAAATCCGGCTGTGCCCATAACATTGAAATCTGGCTGTTTTTTTTTCCCATATTGCTACTGTTTTCATGAACAATCAACCCCGTGTGGGATTAGTAGGCCTGAATCTGTGTTCACACCCTTATCATTCTAAAAAACACATGAAAATGCATCAAAATGCCTTTAAAAACATTAGTGTACAAGTTTAGGGGGGGTCTTGTAATGTTTACCCCTCTAGGGGGGGGTATAGTGAAAACCTGCCAAAATAAAGGCCCACCCCCGTAATACAGACCCGGGGGTCTTGTATTCCGGGGGGTCTTATATCCGGGAGCTTACGGTATTAAAAGCGCATGCGCTTATATCTGGAGCAATGCGCTTATGGCCGATCCTCAGTTATAAACGCACCCCCTGTAAAACCATGTTTTATTATAAGCACATGCATAAATTTTAATTAAAAACCTGCTAAACACAGTAACGAGTTTCAATTTTGAAGCGAGCCCAATTTCTTTATCGCTTCGTTTGACTCGCGAAGACCTCAGAAGCTGCGCGTCAGGTCAAGATGTGCTGGCATAGGGGCAAACTGACGTGTCTTTGCCCCAGTGTGTTGGCAAAGAATCGGTAGCATACGATTCTGATTACTGGCGCTATACAATTTCGCCTCGATTGGAATGGTACGAGTAAGACGTACATTTTGATGCTATAAATTTATATATATGTATCTTGATAAGATAGGAAAACAGGAATGGCTAGAAACAGGACAGTACAGGTTTGTATAGGCTAACTCTAATTGGGTTGTACCCTGTACTGAGTAACCCACAATAGCCTAGCAAGTAGAATTATATTTTTACACACCCCCATAGGCTAAGTGGGGGACAAGCAGATGGTCACAAGACCAGAACAGCAAGAGAACAAGTAAAGCAAAGCTCAAGGTGGATCTCAAGGACACCACACAGTCTGAGCACAAGCAAGCGGCCACAAGGCCAGTTCACATGCAGAGTTATAAGAACAAGGCAGTACACTGATTACAACCTAGCAAGAGTAAACATGCATGTATAAAGATATATATATATCAGTGTACAACAAGAGCAAGTCAAGCAACCAGCAAGTGAGGTCGAGTGGGCAGAAGCCCAAGAGCAGTGCAGAAACGCTGATGATCACCAGACCCAAGGGCCTTGGTGAAGACATCAGCACTGTTGGCCCGAGAGGCCACGTAAGCAAGGCGCAGCTGACCACGCTGCTGCAGCTCTCGAGCAAGAAAGTAACGAAGAGCAATGTGCTTCGTTCTGTGCTCCAGTCTCTGGTCGTGACACAAGGCAAGCATAGCCTTGTTGTCGACGTACAGAACTGGAGGAGAACGAGGCCGCTCCCCCAAGTCGGTCAGCAGGTAGGTCAGTCAGCGGAGCTCCTGTGCAGCCATGGCCCCAGCGTAGATCTCGGCCTCACAGCTGGAACCAAGCACAGAAGAAGAACGACTGGACCTCCACGAGATAGAACCAGAGCCAAGACTGAAGGTGTAACCCTGTGACGAACGCTGAGTCGCCTGGTCGTCGGCCCAAGAAGCGTCAGAGTGTCCTGTGAGTACCACTGAACCCCGTCCTCCAAGCACGAGCCCCATGCCCGATGTACTGCACAAGTAACGCAGTACCCTCTT